CCTCCTCCCTCGGTTTTTTCCTCCCGATGATCCCCTCGCTCTTTGGTTTTCTGTTGATTTTTGGTACTCTCAATCGACGCCACACAAAATTGAAACTAACATAAACATAGAGTATATTGAAATAATATAAACCAAATCCATACTTTCCGAAAATCACTTCCTGAATTAACTCAATCAAATAAAATCAAATCTTCCCAAAATCACATCTAAACCAAAACTTTATTTCCTTCACCTACGAATACTAAATTAAATCAAATCTTACCAAACCTCAACTAACTCAAAAATTTCATTGCATTCACTACCCATACTCGAATCATAATTAAATCCTATCAAAATCTTGAATATGGTGTGTGTAATGCACATGTCAGATCTAATAGTTTTGATCCACAGAAATATGTATGCACCCGTTGCAACAAACATGCCATTTGTTAGTTAGCTTAAGTATTTCAGTTTTCGTCGTCAATGAACCGATGAGCCGTCTGTCCGACCTGTGAAAATATGAACTAACAGCCTTGCCGGATTGGTAGTCAGTTTTTTTAACTACTCCCTCCGTTACTAAATATAATTCTTTTTAAAATTTCACTATAAACTACATACGAAACAAAATGAGTGAATGTACATTTTAAAATATGTGTATATAAGGGAGTATTGTTTTATTTCTCATAAAATGGAAGAAATTTATTGAGTACCAAAGAGATAATTAAATCTATTGAATCCTTTCATTATGTACTTGATTCGGAGATCTTAATCTTTGGGGCACAATCAATTCCTAGTTGATTTGGGGAGAGATATCCTAACAACCCTTCAAGATAAGGCTGACCCATGGCAATATAAACGAGGGGAAATAGAGTAGAACAGAAGCACCATGTCAGTGTAGGAAAAAAGGTAGATCCATCGAAATGGCAAGCATATGGCGCTCGTTCTCACAGTCTGCTTCTTGGGCTTCTTCGTGCCCGCCCCTTCCGTGGCGTCGCCCTCCAACAACAACGACTTCCTCCGGTGCCTCTCGACGAACATCCCCAGCCAGCTCGTGCTGACGCCAAGCTCGCCGTCGTTCACGCCGCTCCTGGTGTCGTCCATCAGGAACGCCAGGTTGGTGGCGCCGGCTACGGCGAGTCCTCCACTGTGCATCGTGACGCCCACAAACACGTCGCATGTCCAGACCGCCGTGCGCTGCGGGCGACGACACAGCGTCCGTGTCCGTTGCGCAGCGGCGGGCACGACAACGAGGGCCTCTCGTACCGATCGACCACCCCGAACGGCGAGGCGTTCGCGGTGATCGACCTCGCCAAGCTCCATGCCGTCCACGTCAACCCGCACGAAGCCACGGCGTGGGTCGAGACCGGGGCGACGGTCGGAGAGCTCTACTACCGCATCGCCACGGCCGCGCCAGGGCTGGGCTTCCCGGCTAGCGTATGCCCGACCGTGGGAGTGGGGGGCATCATCAGCGGCGGCGGCATAGGCCTCATGATGCGCAAGTATGGACTCTCGGCCGATAACGTCCTCGACGCTAGTATGGTCGACGCCAACGGGAACCTGCTGGCGAACAAGAAGGCCATGGGGGACGACCTCTTCTGGGCCATCCGCGGCGGCGGCGGCGGGAACTTCGGCATCGTGCTGTCGTGGAAGCTCAGGCTCGTGCCAGTCCCACCGAAGGTGACCTTCTTCAAAGTCGCCAAGACCATGGAACAGGGCGCGGTCGACACGGTGACCAAATGGCAAACGCTCGCGCCGGCGCTCCCCGACGATCTCAGCGTACGTGTTGTCATCGAAAAGAGCCAGGCCAACTTCCAGTCCCTGTACCTCGGTAACTGCAGCACGACAGTGGCGACGATGCGCAGCCGGTTCCCGGAGCTCGGGGTGACGAGCGCCGACTGCAAGGAGATGAGCTGGCTGCAGTACACGGCGTACATATACTTCGGCGACGCCATCAACAGCAAGCCGCTGGAGGCGCTCCTCCTCAACCGGTCCACGACCCTGGGCCCCTTCGTCAAGAACAAGTCGGACTACGTCAAGAAAGCCCTCACCAAGGAGACCTGGAAGAAGATCTTCCTCTGGCCCAACGGCGCAGCATCGGGGCAGCTCATCCTCGAGCCGCACGGTGGAATAATGGACCGCATCGGCGCCGCCAAGATCCTGTTCCCCCACCGAAGCAGCGTGCTCTACAACATCCATTACGTGGAGCTATGGAACGGGAAAGAGGTCGGGGGCAACGTTACGCCTAACTGGATCGGAAGCCTGTACAACTTCATGACGCCGTACGTGAGCAAGAACCCGAGAGGCGCATACGTGAACTACAGGGACCTCGACATCGGCGCGAACAAGGTGGTCGACGGTGTGATAAGCTATGATAGTGCCAAGGTGTGGGGCGAGAGCTATTTTGGCCCGGAGAACTTTAGGAGACTCGCCGAGATCAATTGCAAAGTGGACGCCAGCGACTACTTCCAGAGCGAGCAGAGCGTGCCGCCACTTCCCTTCAACGAGTAGCTAGTGTAGCTGTGCAAAACAAAACAATCGTGTTTGACCAAATTGTAACTGCTAATAGTTCTGATGGGCTAAAAAGGTTATAACATGTGTCAACATAAAGTCCGAAACTAATGATTTCTGCACAATTTTGGTGCTACAGATATAACGTAGCCGCATAGAATTCAAAACCAACAAGTTTTTTTTTCCAGATCATGGGCAGCATCATTCACACTTTTGATTGCGAGATAATGTGCAGCATTGTTCACACATTTGAGATCTGTTGAGTAGAAATTATAGTCCTGATAACGTCAGGAGATACATTGAGCTTGAACCAACATGATCATGCATCATGTTCGGCTTTGCTAAAACATGAGCTGCTGCGTTACAAAATCGACAAATGGTGGGGGGATGACAGCGATAATAGTGAACTTACAGCATGTAACCAGTTATATGCCGTAAGTGCTCTCATGAGTGGGCCGGTCCATAATAGGCGTTGTATAGACGTGCCGGCTCGGCTGGGGTCGGGCTAGGAAAGGAAGGTGGGCTAAAGGGAGCAGAATGCCCTACCGGTAGGGGTGAAAAGCACCAGACTGCAGAGGGACAACCGATACATACACGACAAAATAACTGTGCACCCCTATTTCTCGCTTTAAGCGAGCACAGGGGAAGCCTTGCATCAGGAGGAGACCCGACGGGCCGGCCCAGCCACGCGGAAGGCTATGGCCTATTTTTTTCTGTTTTATGTTCTGGTTTTTCTAGCTTTTTTGTATTTTTCTTTATATTTTAAAATATTCTACCTACATACAAGAAACACTCTTCAAAAACACATTTGAAAAATGTGAATAATTATTAGAAAATATTGAACAAGAATTTTAAAAACAATTGAACAAGTATTTTGAAAATGTTGAATAAGTATTGAAATGTGGAACAAGTATTTGATAATTGTTGAATGAGTATTTGAAAAAATGTTGAACACATATTTTAAAATGTTGAATAAGTATCAAAAATGTTGAACAAGTACACACAAATATTGAATAAGTTTAGAAAATTGTTGAATGGGTATTTGAAACATTTAGAACATGTTTCAAAAAATGTCAAGTAAATATTAAAATGTTCAACAAGTATTTAAAAAATGTTGAATAAGCGTTTGGACAATGTTGACTTGTCTACAAAAATGTTGATCACTTATTAATTTTTTTTGACATATAAGAAAATGTAGAGTGACAACAAAAACAAACATAATAAAAAAACAAAACAAAAAACAAAAAAAGAAGAAAAAATAACCCAACAAGAAATGGAGAAGAAACAATGAAAACCGCGACTCATTTGGACTTAAGTTGCCTAATTCTACTACGATGTCACCAACCAAAGGCTGGTCTAATGTTGAGATGTCGGCTTGCTCGAAAGCTGGAGACCAGTGTTTGTTTCCTTGGCATGCTCCAATTTATCTTTAGTTTTTTTCCTTTTACTATGCATGTTCATGAATGGGCCAGCCCGATTAGTGTAAGGCCTTAAGCGAGTGATCCTTTCAGCTCGCTAAAGGCAAATAAAATAAAGTCTGTTCAAAATCACACCTAAATCAAAACTTTATTTACTTCACCCGCAAATACCAAATCAAATAAAATGTAACAAAACCTCAATTAAATCAAAATTTTCCTTACATTTCCTACCATACTCGAATCAAATTAAATCCCATCAAAATATTGAATATGGTGGGTGTAATGCAAATGTCAGATAGGATTAGTATTGAACCGCAAAATATGTATGTGATTGTTGAAACACACGTTGCAACTAGCTACTTCCTCTGTTCCTACATATAAGTCCTTTAAGAGATTCCAATGCGGACTAAATAGAAGCAAAATAGGTTAATCTACAGTTTAAAATATATCTATATACATCCGTATGTAGTCCTTTATTGAAATATCTAAAAACACTTACATTCCAGTTTTCTTCGTCAATGAACCGATGAAGCCGACTGTCCTATCTGTGAAGACATGAACCAACAACCTTGCTGGATCGGTTGTGATTCTTTTAACTATCATTTTATGTCTCATAAAATGGAAGAAATGTATTGAGTACCAAACCGATAATTAAAGTTATTAAAACCTTTCATTCTAACGCGTCCTCTACCAGTAGTACTATAGTTCTAGCCTTATGTCAACAATTTAACAATTCAACGTATTTCCTGTTAGGGAGGTATTTAAATTGGTGGTCATAATATTTGGGGCACAATCAATGTCTACTACTCCCTCCGTTCCGAATTACTCGTCGCGGAAATGGATATATATAGGACTAAAATACATCTAGATACATCCATACCTATGACAAGTAATTTGAAACGGAGGGAGTAGATTGCATGTAATGAAGCATTAAATGTCTACTTCAAGATAAGAGTGACACGTGCCTATATAGCGAGGTAAAATAGAACAGAAGCACGGCAGATCCATCGAAATGGCAAGCATGGCGCTTGTTCTCATAGTTTGCTTAGGGCATGTACAATGGTGCTATCTTAGCAGTGCCACGTAGGATAAATGATAAGATGGAGGAGAGAGAACTCATAAAAAAGGCTATTTTAAGGAATAGCACAATATGTCTTTTCTTATTTAAGAGAAGACAAGAGGTGATCTCTTAGCACAATATGTCTCACCATATTTTAAGGAATAGCTAGTTATTAAGATAAGGCTAAGACATGATCCATTGTAGACATCTTTTTTTGTCCTCTCTAAATAACATGCAAGACTTAAGAAAAGACTATCTTATCAACCATTGTACATGCCCTTATTGACCTGAAGAAAATATGGCCTATAGGTAATAATAAAGTTATTATTTATTTTCTTATTTCATGATAAATGTTTATTATTCATGCTAGAATTGTATTAACCGGAAACATAATACATATGTGAATACATAGACAAACATAGTGTCACTAGTATGCCTCTACTTGACTAGCTCGTTAATTAAAGATGGTTAACTTTCCTAACCATAGACTAGCTCGTTAATTATAAAGGTGCTCTACAGGTGTCTCCGAAGGTACTTGTTGGGTTGGCGTATTTCGAGATTAGGAGTTGTCACTCCGATTGTCGGAGAGGTATATCTAGGACCACTCGGTAATACACATCACTTAAGCCTTGCAAGCATTGCAACTAATGAGTTAGTTGCGGGATGATGTATTACGGAACGAGTAAAGAGACTTGCCGGTAACTTGATTGAACTAAGTATTGAGATACGGACGATCGAATCTCGGGCAAGTAACATACCGATGACAAAGGGAACAACGTATGTTGTTATGCAGTTTGACCGATAAAGATCTTCATAGAATATGTAGGAACCAATATGAGCATCCAGGTTCCGCTATTGGTTATTGACCAGAGACTTTTCTCGGTCATGTCTACATAGTTCTTGAACCCGTAGGGTGCGCACGCTTAAAGTTTGATGACGGTTATATTATGAGTTTATGTGTTTTGATGTACCGAAGGTAGTTCGGAGTCCCGGATGTGATCACGGACATGACGAGGAGTCTTGAAATGCTCGAGACGTAAAGATCGATATATTGGACGACTATATTTGGATACTGGAATGGTTCCGGGTTCGGAGTCTCGGAAGGTTATCGGAACCCCCCTCCCCCCGAGGTATATGGGCCTTAATGGGCTTTAGTGGAAAGGAGGGGAGTACGATCACGCACACGCAAGATCATGGTGATGCATAGCAACGAGAGGGGGAGTACGATCTACATACCTAGTAGTTCGACAACGGAAGCGTTTGGTTGATGTAGTCGTACGTCTTCACGATCCGACCGATCAAGCACCGAAACTACGGCACCTCCGAGTTCTAGCACACGTTCAGCTCGATGACGATCCCCGGACTCCGATCCAGCAAAGTGTCGGGGAAGAGTTCCGTCAGCACGACGGTGCGGTGACGATCTTGACACACTACTGCTGTAGGGCTTCGCCTAAGCACCGCTACAATATTATCGAGGACTATGGTGGCTGGGGGCGCCGCACACGGCTAAGGAATAGATCATGTGGATCAACTTGTGTGTCTCTGGGGTGCTC